CTGTAAGCAGGCACAGGGGCCAGGCTTTTGATCCCTGGGACTGCCATGCCCACCCCACCCCCAGGGCACGCTGAGAGGGCAATTGAGCCTGGGTGAGTCTTTGGGGGAACAACTAGCACAAACCATAACATTTTGCCCCAGTCCCCTCAAAAAAATAATTTAAAAATAAGAAAAAAGAAAAAAGGAAAAAAAAAAAAAAAAGCATGCTATTTGGTGCCTGTGATCTCAGCACTCTGGGAAGCTATAGCAGGAGGATCGCAAGTTGAAGGCCAGGGTAGGCAACTCGTTCATTTAGCAAGAACTTGTGTCAAAAAAAAAAAAAAAAAAATGTGTTTAAGGTAAAAAGCTGAAGATGTAGATCTGCGTGAAAGCCCTTGGTTCAATTCTTAATACTAGAAGGAGAGGAGTTGTCTGAATTATGGAAATCCTAAGTGATGGGAATTTTACTGTCTGCATGTATTAACATATGGTGAACCACCCAAAAGAATAATCGTTGGGGAGAAGCAATCAGCTCCCTGGACATTTTGAGAACTCTCCACCTACAGCGACGGAGCTTGAAGACTCCCATTTGTGCATCAAGGTGCACAGCCTACAATAAAATCCAACGAAGAATACCTTGGGGCTGCTCATCAGGCCAGCAGTCAACTGTGCAACCTTAAGTCGGCCGCGCCCCTGGGCACTGTTGCTGCGCTCCACTCGAGTAAGTGAGGACACGTAGCCCTGGGGAGGCAGAGGGAGGTTGGGAGGGGAAAGGGTGGTCGCGGGGGAGCCACTTACGAGATGTAGGCTGGATAGCCAAATCCTATCAGGTTGCAGAGGAGAGAGGCTCCATAACCGAACACCAGGTACAAGGCCACCAGCCCGATGACACCTGGAGACGCGAGAGCAGAAGTGGGATGGGGGCCCGAAGCGCGTGGAGGGGGCGGCCCACCCGCGGGTTCGGCCAGCACCGGGCGTTTTCCTCCTCGCTCAATTAAGGGGAGAAAAACCAAAGGGGATGGGCCTGCACCGCCGCGGGGCGCTGCCTCAGGTCTGGGGAGACCGCAGCCCCCACACTGTGCCTTCCCCTCGGGCGAGTCCGGCCCCTGCCACAACCCGCACCCCACCCCCTACCCCCGGAAGCTCTGCAGAACGAACGGACGGACGGACGGACAGACAGACACGTCAGCGCCGCCCGCCGTCCGCCGCTCCGCGTTCCTGGCCCGCCTCGTGCGCTCGCCCAAGCCCTCTCCCCACGGCCAGCCCTTCCGCAGGCGCCGTGGAGGCCCGGCCCGGCCACGCACCGAGTGCGATGAAGCTCCGGTTCACTCCGGTCTTGGCCTCAAGCTTGGCCAAGAGGTCAGTCATGCAGTTCTTCTCGTGCAAGAACCGGTCGAACCTCTCCCTCATGGCTGCAGACATGGCGAGAACCACCGCGCCCGCCGAGAGCTGCCTGAACACGGAACACGGACGCGAGGACTGCAGCAAGAGAACGGCCTCAAGGCTACTCAGCTCGGGTGGCGCCCTCTACCCCGCCAGGGCCCGCCCTCCGCCCACCAGGCCCCGCCCACGGCCTCCGCCCCACCAGGCCCCGCCCACCTCCCGCCAGGCCCCGCCCCTCCCCATCTTTCCGCCCCTCCCCAATTTAGTCTGTGTCTTCCCAGGGCGGTTGCTGGGGGGCCTAGCTCATTAATAACCCTGAACCTTTAGGCGGTAAAAAAAAACGAAGAAGAATCAGAAGCGTATATTTTGTGGGCTTCTTTCTCACCTCAACTCAGCAAAAGACACAGGGGTGGGGGGGTGGGGAGGAGGTCTGTTTGTTGCTTCTGCCTGAAATGTAGTGCACTAGTTTGGTGATCTATACTGCTATGCTAAACCTGCTAAGGTGTTTTTTAACCTAAAAATGGAAGTATATGACCATCCTAAAAGGACTCCGCGGACGCAGGCCTGCCCTGTCCCAGCACAGGCCTTGCAATGCCTTTCAGCCTGCTCCGGGGCATCCTCCAGCCAGGTGACCCAGTCCTGACAGAGTCTGCTCTCGTGGAAATGTTGCCAGAGCCTTCAGTCTGCTCAGAGCCCCCATACACAAAAACTCCCAAGAAGAAAGGACCAGAAGGCCCAGTTTGGGACCCGACCTCCCTCTTCCTCTGCACTCAGGTTCTGTGGACTCGCATCGAGTCCTCTCAGGACAAGCCTTGGAAGCACCTGCTCCCGGCTTTGCTCGTTGCAGAAGGCTCAGGGCTTCCCAGTGCTGGCAGCCGGGGCTCCAGTTTTCAACGGTGCTTCCAAAACCTTGCGCAGGGACTGGTCCCACCCTCCCTCCTTGTCCTCCACAACCCCTCCCTGTCGTAATTACCACACTGCCTACCAAGTCAGAAAAATAAAATGAAACAATCTTTCCCACAGTTATGTTGGATACATTATGTCAACTTGAAGTCTAGAAGCTTAGCTAGGGCCAGGGATATATCTCAGTGACACAAGAGCCTGCCTAGAAGCTTACCTAAATAACTCAGCAATTCTACAGCATGGGGTATAAGGACAAGCCCTCACCTATAGGGCGTCCTTCACTGTGTCAACTTGAGAGGTTTAAAAAATTTGGGGCCGGGGAGATGGCTCAGTGGAATAAGCGCTTCCCTGGCAAGTGCAAGGGTCTGAGTTCAATCCCCAGTTCCGCCAAAAAATAAAATAAAAATTTAAGTAATTCAGCAGGGGCCAAAAGCAGCAAGGGCAAAAAGGGAGGAGCAGTGGCAGCAGACAGCAAGCCTCTCTCCCTGTTTATATTGCATTCAGGTTATCCACCTCAGGGCAGATGTAGCTCTCACACCCATAATCCCAGCAGCACTCACATCCATAATCCCAGCACTGGATCCTGAATGAATCACAAACTCTAGAAGCTCGAAGCCCCATCACTGCATGAGTCTTTGGGGGAACAACTAGCACAAACCATAACATTTTGCCCCAGTCCCCTCCCCTAAAGACTCATGCACATCTCTTTATGCAAAAGGCATTTTAGTCCATCTCTAAGAGTTGCCAAAATCCTAACAGTTTCAGCCATCTTTTAGATGTGAGCCCCTGTACAAATGAAAAGTTAAATGCTTCCAACATTCAATGGCACAAGAAAAATATTACCAATCCAAAAGGTACAAATGGGGATACAAATATTGGTACTAAAGCAAGTCCAAAAGCCAGCAGGGCAAACATTAAGTCCTATAGTTCCACTTTCAACATCCAAGGCACTCTGTGACAAACTGTGAGCTCCATGTGGGTCCCCACAGCCTCTTAGGTCAACTTTCTCAGTTACCCCCACCAACACCTGGGCAAACCAGTGAACAAATGAGACCATGTAGGAAATGAATGGCATGACTGGGGCAGCCCCCAAGCTTGGCAGTCAGTTTCTTTCTTTTCACCTCAGTTAATGCTCAGTATGGCAATCAGTGGATCTTTTGCCAACAAGGGTCCAATTGTGCTGTCTTTGCCTTTGACACTCCAGTGGCTTTCCATCTGTCTAAAGAATGGCCTCCAGTTCACAGAGGTGGAATCCAGCCTCTTTCTAGTTATCTCCTACTGCCACCTCCTTGCTGTGCCTGCCTCTCTCTGGGCTTTTGCTTTTCTTTTCTCTCCAAGGTCGGCCTAGGAACAATTCCCACCCAATGCCCAGGGGCAACACAACCCTGTCCTGAGTCACTTTGATTGTCAGACTGTCAGGACTGGGGGATGCCGAGGGAAGAGTTACCTACACTTAGTGGTAGAGACCAGGGATGCCAATGCACAGGACAACCCCCGCCATAGTGTTATCCAGCTCCAAAAATCAAGAGTGCTGAGGTCTAGAAGCACCTCTACCTCAAAAATGTTTTCTCTACCATCGCTTCCTCTTTTAATGGCACTCCTAAGCCTGAAGCAAAGAAGGTCTCTAGTCCTTTTCTTGCTTGTCTTCTCAACAGCACTGACTACCACCTGAGGGTCCATGTGTCCTACTTTTTTTTTTTTTTTTTTTTTGTGGAACTGGGAATTGAACTCAGGCCCTTGCGCTTGCCAGGGAAGCACTTATTCCACTGAGCCATGTCCCCAGCCCTGTCCTACATTTTTGTCTTTCTTCTCTAGTCTCTGAGTACAATCAAGCTGGGTATTTTTATGTTTTGTCTACTTCTGTATTTCAAGCACCTCCAACAATGCTTGTTACTTACCAGGTGTTCAATAATGTATTAGATGGATATCTCTCGTGTATAGTTCCACACAGTTTTCTAAGTACGGGTGGACTAGATCAGTTAGTCTTTACAATAGCAGGAGGAAGATGCTACCTGTACTATCCTTACTTAAATAGGAGGGAAATGAGATACAGCAAGGTCTCACAGAGCTAGTATTCCAACCCAGACTCTGAGCCTTACATAGGTTTGTAGCCTGGATGGAATAAAAAGGGAATGAAAGAAGGAAGGCTGCTGCTTGCTGCTTCCTCTCTGCCATACCATGAACTGTTTCTCTTCTGCAGCATCCCTCTGCCATGATACCCTGCCTTGGAGCCACTTGAATATGGACTTAAATCTCTCAAATCTGTGAAGAAAATAAACCTTCCCTCCTTTAACTTGTGTCAAGTATTTTGTTCTAGCAAAGGGGAAAGTAGGGCTGGCCAAATAGCTCAGCAGATTAAAGCACCTGTAAGCAGGCACAGGGGCCAGGCTTTTGATCCCTGGGACTGCCATGCCCACCCCACCCCCAGGGCACGCTGAGAGGGCAATTGAGACAAAAGCCTGTAATCCCAGCTCTTCGGAGGCGGTAAACAGGTGGATCACTAGAGTCTGATCTAGTAGTGAGAACCTGTAAGCAGGCACAGGGGCCAGGCTTTTGATCCCTGGGACTGCCATGCCCACCCCACCCCCAGGGCACGCTGAGAGGGCAATTGAGCCTGGGTGTGGTGGCAAAAGCCTGTAATCCCAGCTCTTCGGAGGCGGTAAACAGGTGGATCACTAGAGTCTGATCTAGTAGTGAGACCTTGAACACCCTGTAGACCCTTCCCTAAAATACAAAAAAAAAAAAAAAAAAAAGAAAGGAAAGTACCCACGAGATACAAATGAGAAATATGAACACCAAAATAGACAGACACTCATGGAAGAGGATGTGAAGCGAAACCCAGGGAGAAGATGGCCCCACACACCAAAGAGGAAGACTTTGAAAAGACCCTTCTTGGATAGGCCTCAGAAGGTACCACTCTTGCTGACACCTTCTTCTGTTTTTTTTTCTTTTCTTCTCTTTTGAGACAGGGTACAAAAAAAACCAAAACAAAACAAAAAACAAGACTTCCTAAAAGTGCCAGGGAGATAGCTCAGTAGAATAAGCACTTGCTTGGCAAGTGCAGAGTCCTGAGTTCAATCCCCAGTACTGCAAAAAAAAAACAGGGTGCTATCACATCTGGCTTGACACCTTGATCTTGGACTTTAACCTCCAAAACTATGCGATAATATCTATGTATATTTGTGTTTATCAGGGATTGCACTGAGGTATGTCCCCAGCCACCATATATATATATATATATATAT